TCTTTTTCGTTTCTTTTTTTTTTTTTTTTTTTTTTTTTTTAATTTTGAATGTATATATCTTCCATAAAGGAGCCAAATAAAACCAAATTTCATGTTTAGATGTGTTCAATATTTGGGTTTGATATCTGGGTTTGAAATTCTAAGTAATAGGTTGATGTTGTTGTGTTCATGTTGCTATGAGTAAAGTGAAGGATCTGTTTTGCAGAGAAGAAATTAATGTTTAAAGTATTGATAAATTATTTTAATTAGTAATTAATTTTTATTTTTAATAATGAAAATATTCTTATGAATTGTGGATTATATCTTAACCAATCTCATATATAAAAGATTGATTCTAAATGAAAAACAAGAATTTTGAAAGGAAGATGATAGGTGGAGAGGGAACTGAAAACATTGATTAGGGTTTGTGGGAGAGTCATTAAGTGAGTCATTAAAGTCCACATAAGCGTCTTTACAGGGTGGAATGTCCATGTCGGATGTTGCTGTTAAGATAACGTGCCACGCTAGCAAATTTTAACAGAAGGACAAAAAGGGGCCGAATTTTAAAATTTAGGGACTAAAAAGGGGATTTTTCGGTACATAGACCAAAAGGAGGCTTTTTCCTATAGTAGAGGGATCAAAGAAGGTATTTAACCTTTATTTTTTATAATCATGATATATAAATATCAAATTATATACTGTACATTGCCACTTCATGGTTTGGAATCTGGCCGGAGGGATTATGGGGCAACTTAACAGTGCCACATAAAGGAAGGACTGTTTTGATCCCAAAATAAAAGGTCGAGAGATAAAACGGTCTTAAAAAAGGTAGAGAGATAAAACGGTCTTAAAAAAGGTTTAAGAACCGATGAAAAGGTAAGTTACGAAGGAAATGGAGAAATAACAGAAATTACAGCAGCTGAAGCTATCAAAGCATGAATCAAGTGAGAAAGATAAATCAGCAAATATGGAAACAATATATATCAGGGAATCATGCTCAACAATTATAAGAACAATCTCAAGAAACTAAGGACAAATCATAGTCAAAAGCAACGGTTAAATAAAGTGCCGTTAAGCCTTTCTCAATGTCAGGCATAATTACATAATTACAGTCTCAATCAATTTTTGTAAATATAAATACATCTTTTATATATACTACATGATTAGCTCGATACAAGTTCAGTATTCTTCTAAACTTTCGTTTGCTTTTTTCATTAGAGACCAAAACGGTAAAATGTCGGTTGGAACTTCGTTAGAAGAGAGAGGTTTGGAAATATAAGGACCACAGAATACACGAAGGGCTTCGATTGATCTTCTAATTAACAGTTTTGCTCTCAACTCCATGGCTTCCAGGTATTCTTTCTCCATCTTTATGGTTGGTTGCAAGAGACAAATAAATAAATAACATGACCCTTTGAGTTGAATACGGTTTTGAGTGTGTACTCTAGGATGCTATTATATATGATCCTTTTTTTTTTTTTTTTGAGTTGAATAATTGAGATAATCCTTTTATATCCCTTAATATGATAATTTAATTATTTTATTTATTAAACTTAAATATTTTAATTCAATTGTCTCACATATTATATTATTGATACAAGATATTAAATATTATTATTTCAATTTTATCCTCATTATTCTATTCTATTTGTAAAGATGTGAGTGTTTTATTAGGATAAATATGTCATTTTAATATTTAATTATGGAACTTTAATCCATCCCTAAATTGTTTATGTATGTGTAAAGTCAAAAAGTAGATAATTAAAATGGAATTAGGGAGTGAAAGCCTTCCCTTTTTTTGGACAACATTTATAATTGCATTTTTTTAAGTTTTCAAACCAATTAAAATAAAACTCGAATTTTTAAATTAGAAATCTTAATTTTGAATCTTGAAATAGGTGAAGGGGGGTTTGAATTATGTGAATTTGAATCAATTGCACTCCCTCAAAACCACATGTTGACATGAAAAATAATTTATTAATTATAATATTACGTAATATTATAAAATTATAATTATAATATATTATTACATAATTAACTTTTTTTTCATGACATATTCTTAATATTTACTTATTTAATAATATATCACAATTATAAACTTACAAATTTACATCCTTATAATTATATGATTCTTGTCACATTGGTTTTACCCAGAAAAGACAACCACAAATTTCATATTGCAACCTGCGGCCCCATAAACACAAAATCTAATTCCCACTAGATCTGGCCCAGTTTTGAAACTCCAGGCCTTTAAATTATTGATTATTCTATTCTTTGGATTGTATGCCTATGTACCAGACAAAAAATGACCCAACTCAATCTTGGAATATATATATATATATATATATATTTTTTTTTTTTTCGGTTAGAAAATATTTTTTATCTAGTTATTAATCGCATGAGCATACCAGATTGGAAACTGCTGGAACGACTGACCCTTAAGTAGAGGAGGAGATAGAGAAAACGTTGGAAAATCACCCGATAATTGTTTTGACTGGGGAAGCTGGAGTTGGGAAAACTTTGGATCGCAAAAGAAGTTTGTAAATTGTGGCTATGTAGTCCTTGGACGGTGTTCTTGCTTACGAGCTCTGCCATCGGTAAGAAAACTCTTACGTCTTGAGGAAATTGATATTTCTGAATGTTCCTCTTTGGAGAAGATGGCTAACAGGTCCCTGGGAGGGCTTCAAGAACTACAGATTCTTGATTTCTCTCATACCAAAATACAGAAATTGCCAATTATTCATGCTCTTAAAAACGTCAAACAACTCCTGCTGAACTGAAAGGACGTGATTGTTTAACTATACTACGCTGGATGAAACGTTGTTCCATTCTTCAAATTCATGATCTTTCTGGCGCCAACAAAATAAGGGAATTGAACAAAGATTCGTTTGAAGATGCTAAAAACCTCTGTGTTCATAAACTGAATGACTGTACTCAGATTAGTAAACTTCCCTCCTTGACAAGCAATCTAGAATCTCTAGATCTTTCCAATCCCTCCAATCCGAACGATTTTCAAGACATCTCCTTTGAAAATTTGAAATGCCTACACCATCTGAACCTTTCAAATACTGGCGTTGGAAAGCTTCCATCCATTATGGGCCTCCCTGGGCTCCGGTAACCTCTGCTTCAGGGTTGTTCAGGGTTGTGAGAAGCTTAGCGAGTTGCCTCAGTTGACTGATCTTCAAAACCTGGAAGATCTTGATCTTTCAGGCTGCAAAGCTCTGTCAGAAATACCAAACAACTCCTTTCAGTCCTGACTCAACTTCAGAAACTCAAACCCTCAGTCCGTAAAATGCTTACTAAGTCACCTAACTTAACAGGACTTCGAAACCTGAAGGATTTTGATCTTTCAGGTTGTGAAGCTCTGTCAGAAATACCAGACAACTATTTTCAGTCCCTGATTTTACTCCAGAAACTCAAACTCTCAGTTCGTAAGAAGCTTACATAGTTACCTCATTTAACAGTACTTCTAAACCTGGAGAATCTTGACCCTTCATGGTTGTGAGGCTCTATCAGAAATACAAGATAGCTCCCTCGAGCGCATGACCCGACTTCAAAAACTCAACCTCCCTGAAACTCAGATCAACTTCTTACCATCTCTGCACAAACCAAGTAACCTTCATGCCCTTGTTCTGAGAAACTGCAAGAACCTAAAACACCTTACTGAAGTTGGAGATCATTGTGTCAGAAGACAAAGGCCTATAAAGTCTTTCATGAGCTAGAGATGCCTATATTGGAGTCATGTTTTGGTTTTCATCAATTCAAAGTGAACAGAAGACTAAGTCCTCAACAACCACAATGATCTCTGCTTTGCTTCTATCCATGTACAACTTCAGGTTGGTTTTGTTTAATCTGGTTCATCACTTGCTTTTATTTCTTTGGCTAAATGTACATTCCATCTCTTTTTCCGGTTCATGTTTTAACTTACTGTTATCATTATTCTCCATTTTTGGGTTTTGTTTGTACCCTATCTTGGCCGTTTCTGATCAAAATTTGCACACACAATTTTCTTTCCTGGGTTTAAAAAAACAGAAGATCTGATGAAATAAGTACCACTATGCTGCCATTGCTTTTTAATTACTGATTATGAAATGAGCACTGTGCCACTTCAGCATTAATGAGGAGAGCAGCGTTATTGCACAATGAGGTTTCACTACAGTGACGCTCTCTTTTCTGATATCATTTTCTTGAAAATGGCATAATTACTAACAACATCACAGCAAATAGATGATCCTCATTATGAAGTTTTTTGGATCTGTTTCTGGTTTTGGAGTTGTTTTTCGTGGGAAATCAATATTAATGTTGTCTTCTGTCTGGCGTGTTGATTGTAGAATATCTGAGTAGCCATTCAAAATCCAAAACTACATGAAATAAGGATGACTATATGGAGCCAATGAAAAGCCTCAGGATGAGCTGTACAAGATCACTTGGGAATGAAGCGGCTGCTTAACGCATGGTATTGTTTAGTAGAGATAGGTGTTTTCAAGGAAAGGTTCCATCTTCCTGTTTGTGCTGAAATAATATGCATTTTCCTTGTACTTTTGAACAGCAATGTACACTAAATCAGTCTTCGGAGATTTATTATGAATGAATGCATAGTCTTTGCATATTGATAAATGAACTGGATGCTAGAAGTTTCAACGCTTACAAAACCATCCTTCAGCTCCCATCTATGAATCTGCTCTTGAAACTGAGAGAGGACTGACGACATCACTATCCCAGTTGTTTAGAGCATCAGCTAGATTTGGCAGGCAGTCACCGGATCATTTAGGAGGAACTCTAGTTCAGGTCCCTTAGGAACGGGACAGGGCAAGTGATTCTGACAAAGCAGGGAGAGATTCATCAAGGTTTTATATTCAGATTCTGGCCTGGTTGACATTAAACATTCCCTTTTTCTTTCCTTTTGTGCACATCAGCTTCGCCTTCAAAATTCAAATTTTCAATGTCAAACCCATCAGCTTAAGCAGTTATCTTGCCATCTTGGTACAGACAAAAGGATTCTGCTGAAGAAAAGCAAAGAAAGATTGAAAGAATACTGAACTTGTATTCACTATATTCATTGGTGTACAAGAGATGTATTTATATTTACAGAAAAGTTGATTGAGGCTATAATTATGCCTGACATTGAGGAAGCTCAATGGCACATTATTTGACTGTTGCTTTTGAATATGATTTGTCCCTGCCTTCTTCAGATTGTTTCCATAATTGCTGAGCCTGATTTCTTGATATTGTTTCCATATCTGCTGAGCTATTTTTCTCACGTGATTCATGCTTTGACAACTCCAGTTGCTGTGATTTCTCAATACTCCCCCTCAAACTAGAGTGGGGTGAAGCAGCCACTCCCAGTTTGAACCGAAAGAACTGAAATTTTGGTCGAGGCAGTGGCTTTGTAAGTATATCTGCTAGTTGTTCAGTGCTAGGCATGTATCTTGTCACCAGTGTACCAATTGCCACTTTCTCTCGAACAAAGTGGTAGTCTAATTCAATGTGTTTGGTCCGAGCATGAAAGACTGGATTAATAGACATATGGAGGGCACTTATGTTATCAGAAAACAGTTGAGGAGGGGAGAGCAAGGGAATTCCAATATCACGAAGAAGATAGGTGAGCCATACGATCTCAGCTGTGGTGGAGGCTAATGCCCGGTACTCTGCTTCAGCAGTTGATCGTGATACAGTTGGTTGCTTTTTGGAGGACCATGATATACAATTTTCTCCAAGAAAAATGCAGTATCCTGTTGTGCTTCTTCTTATAGTTGGACAGCCGGCCCAATCAGCATCGCAAAAACCTGTCAAAGATAAGGTGTTGCAAGAGTAAAAACGTAGACCATAGTGCAGTGTACCCTTTATGTATCTTAGGATGCGCTTAACATGGCGGAGGTGGGCAAGAGTGGGGTTCTGCATAAATTGGCATACTTT